TGTGGTTTGGCCTGGGATTGTAGCACTGAGAGATGGTAGAAGTGATTGGGTTTTGAATGTATTTTGGAATTATAGCCAATGTCACTTGCTAATGGTGTGGATGGGATTATAAGGGAAGAGACTCCTAGGTTTTTGAATGGAGCAGATGGGTGGTGGAGATGTCATCTTCCAAGGTGGGGAAGACTGAGAAAGAACCTAAACCTGTTCTTGATTAAGGGCATTAGGAGTTCCACCTTAGATGAACAAGGGGAAGTTGGATACATGAATCTGGTATCCATGGCAGAGGTTAGTTCTGAGCACATAAATGTGGGAGTCACCAGTTTTTCAATGATTTTATAGATGGTACTGGACAAAATCACTAAGGGAAAAACGGATGTAGAGAAAAAAGCACATAGAGAACCGGGCCCCAGAGCATCTAACATTTAGAGTAGAAAGAAGAGGAATTTAGGGAGATCAAGAAAGGCGCATTGGTTAGGTGGGAAGGAGCCAGGAGAGGATGCTGTGTGGGAGCTGAGAGAAGGCAGGGCTTGGGGAAAGAACTCTTACTGGCCAATGCCGAGGGAGTAAGATAAGGTGCAAGGACTGGCCATTGGCCTGGCAACCTGGGAGCCACTGACCAGAGCGGAGTGAAGGAGAAGTACAGATGAGTATACAAATATTAGAAGACTGTGATTTTTGTGAATGGAATAATGGTATCGAGAGAATTTAAAAAGGAAAGAGATGAAAATATTGTAGCATATTTGCAGCAAGGGACATTGTGAGGCAGGAGAGAGAGCTCTACCAGCCATGGGACATAGTCTGGAGTAGGTGAGAGAGGCTGGGGTCTGGTGTCTAAGGGAGGTGTGTGCCAGGGGCAGGGGCACTTTCATCCATGCCAGAGGGGAGAAGGCAGAGTGGTTGGGCACTTGAGCTAGGAAGGTGGCAGACGTGGTGATGGGGGTGCTGAGCTGGGGCACTCGGTGCCTGGTTATCAGCTGAGATGGACGATTGGGAGAATGCAGGCTGGAGCTTTGAGGGGAGGAGAAGGTATGATGTGGTCATCTTGGAGAATCAGGTTAAAGTTTAATAAAATGTAAAATTTCTTAGAGATGCTGAGTGTGCCCCCTTGAGCTTTGTGGTCAGAAGTTTAAACTGTTGCCAGTACTGTTCTCTAGATACTCAGGAGCAGTTACCACATGGAGAAGGTCTGGAGAGGCACACAAAGGCAAGGGAGTGGGGACGTGTTCATCAAGGTAATGATTACTGCGGACCTGTGGGGCCTAAGCTGCAAAGGAGAGAATGGAGACCAAGCAATTGGGGATGGGTAGTGAAATAGTGGTGGGTCAGTGGGTTGGATGGAGGGTTGCTGGAATAGGGAGTGGGATAAATGAGCTGTATAGATAGGCAATAGCACACCTCTTGGCACAGACAAGGTGTAGGTGGAACAGTGCGTGTGGGAGGGTTTGATGGGTGGGAAAAAATACTTGTTGGAAGCCAGGAAGTCAGAGAATTGAGAAGCCAGGGTGTAGGTGTGGTAATAAGTGTAGGAGTAGAGAGAAAGACAATGAGCCAGTGGCTAAGATGAAGGAGATGGAATTACCAGGATATCTTGTTTATATCTCAGATTCATTAGTCTGAAACTGAAATCATTGTTTTCCCTCAAAACTACTCCTCGCTGGGGCTCCTGTCCCATACTGGAGCCAGAAACCTGGGTGTTACTTTGATTCCTCCCTGTACTTGATCTGCACACCCAGTCAAATCACCAAATCTTTCTGATTCTATCATGCCCCCATTTCTTAAATCCAGCAACTTCTTTCCATCCCCGTTGCACATGCCCTGCCTACTTCAGGCAATTGTTGTTTCTTGTTCAGATTACTGCATCAGATTCCAAACAGGTAGCCCTGCCCTGGTCCCTCTACACTGCACCAGGGATCATGTCACCTCTGCTATATCTCTCCAGGGTCTTGTCACTTAGGATAAAGTCCAACATCACTGATCTACAAAGAAAACACTGCCCACTTCAGCCTGACTCCTAACCGCTGGCCCCTTGCCTGACTCAACCATTTTGAGTTTCTTTCAGTCTTTGGCATTAGACTTGCTCTTCCTTTGCATATGCTATTCCTTTGTCTGGAATCCTACCCTGTTCACTTGGAAAAACTATCCCGTTTCTCTAGGTGACAGTGTAAGAAGTCACAAGGAACCCTTCCCTGGATGCCCGATCCTCCTTCCTTTTTCACCCAGCATCCTGTACTTCTCCAGTAGGCCACAAATGTGGTAGTTGTTCTTTTCCCTAGACTGAATGCTCCCTGAGATCAGAGACTGTGTCTTGTCTGAATCTTCCCAGGATTTAACAAGGAGCTTTCACATAAAAGTAAGCAGTCAGTATTTGTTGGGCTGAATCCAATGGAAGGCTCTAGCGGTGGAGCAGTTGTGGGTGATGATAAGATCCAGGGTGTGGTTCTGTAGGACCATCACAGTGGAAGAGAAGGTATTAGAATGAAAAGGATAGGGCTAAACTCAGGTAGACCTCCTGGTCTACCTTCTAGGCCCTAGGAAAGCAACAGGAGAAGACCTTTGACCATGGACTCAGTCTTGAAAGAATGAGAAGTTGCTGGAGGCAATGGGAGCAGGAAAGAGGGTGGAAGGGGAAGATGCCAGAGGCAAGAACAAGTGGGAATTTTTCAGGAAGGGGAAGGTGTGGGGGTCTGAGTGGTGGTGAGAGTGTGGGGGGCTCAAGAGTGTGGGGGACTAAAGGTGAGACTGTCTGATGGGTGAAGTGTTGCCTACTGCTTTAGTCTCAGCCCCCTCTAGAGGGCTCAGGCTGGTCTGATGGTGTTCTACTTCGCCTAGCACATGGCTCAGGACTCCAGACCTCTGGGAAGGGTACCCATGGGGAGGACACCAAGCGGGTGGCCAGGTCCTGAGATGAACTCAACATATGCTAGACCCAGCAGCAGCCCCTGGAATGGGCTTCCAGACTCTCAGGAGAAGTTGATCATGGTGGATTCCCTGGCCCGGACTTGGGAGCTACCTTTGTCTGAACAGTACAGGGACAGCTGGTTGTGTTCAGAGTGCTACTCTATCCTGGGCTCAGTGGTCACAGCTCTGATCTGGGGGGATGGGAGCCACCCTTATCTCCTGTGGTCAGGAGTTTAGTAGGTAGTATTTGTGCCCTTCCCTCATCCCCTTTACTAGGGGACACCCGTTCCCTAGTTGCTGTGAGTATTAGCTGGTCGTGGATTATAGCTGGCCCTGAAGAAATGACCTCTTCCTGCCAGCCCTCCTGCCTTTGGGTTGGTTTGGAGCCAATGACTGACTGACAAGGGAGGTCAGGAGCTTAGTGCCCTGGCCTCCAGAGGTGGGACAACTCTGTGATGGGTTTCATGATCCAAATCCAACCTCACTCCCATGAATCAGGTCAAGCTACAATTCCCCAAGTACACAGCTAGTCCAGCTCAGCCCCTCCCTGTCCTGGTTCTGCTCTTCCCTTCATATGTACAAAATCCCTGCCCCTGGCTCTGCTTCTAAGAAATCTGGATGACTCTCTGGTCTTGTCCCATTACTAAGAGTTGACATGGAGTCTACCCAGTGGTCCTGGAGGGTCCCTTTCCTTTTCTATGTGCAAGTCTTTCAACTTGTACCTGAGAGATTTAGGCTGGATTTACTTAACAGCACCACACAGCAAAACAAAACAAAACAACAACAAAAAAAACCCAAACAAGAAACAAACAAAACCCCTCCCAATTTGCTGACCTCCTGGCTAGGTTGGGTATGGTGAAGACTTGGATCCACAAACCTCATTCCTTCCCCAGCAGCTCACAGCCATTTACTCACCTCACAAACATTTACTGGAGGCTTACGGGACCTGGTGACTCATCGTCCTGACCTTGAATGGCTCACAGGCTTAGGGGGAGACGTTCAGAGGAACCAGCCACCCCAGTGTGGGGAGAATGGTGGAGGAGAGGCACCAACCGGGCTGGGGTATGGGGGGCAGTGAAGGTTGTCCTTGGGGTTTGAGGACAGGACACAGAGGAGGTAGGTGGGGCGCTCCAGTCAGAGAGGGAACCGTATGACAAAGGCCTGAGGCATGTCAGAGCAAATGAGGCACATCTGCTTGGGGAATTGCCAGCCCTGTGGTGGTATTGATGGGTAAAAAGGAGGAGGGAGGAGGGATGAGGATGGGAGGCTAGGGTGGAGGTGGTAGAACATTGACAGCAGGAGTTCTGCGGTTAGATTCAGGAACAGATTCATCACTTCATCCTGCAACGCAGGGGCATCAGAGAGGCTCAGTAAGAGGTGGGAAGGAAGCCTATGGGGTGGGAAAGAGGGGATTCAGGAGGCATTAGAGGTCGGAGTCAGTGGTGTGGGTGCAGGGTTGGGATTTGGTGTGAGGGGAGGGGCTCGGGATGGCAGGGAAGCATCTGGCTTGGAGCAGTCTGGAGGGATGGCAATGCCCGCGGGGGCTGGGGAGTGTGTTTGAGGTTGAAAGGCTTAGGGTAACACGATGGGGTCAGTTTGGAGCTGCTGAGTGAGATGGCCAGAGAGAGCAGGCCCAGGCGGGAGGTATCATCAAGCCCTGAGTGGTGGCGAGGGTGCGGGGAGGATGAAGTCACCCAGGAATATATGCTGGCAAAGAAAAAAAAAGGGAAATTCACGGATGAGAGGGCCCATGACACGTCCCCGAGATGTCCATCCCACTTGCTCTCAGTGCCACCCCTCCCACCATCAGAGGGACTCCTCTGCCTCAGACCTGTGCTGAGCAGGGACGGAGAGGTGCCTGCCAGGCACTTTCGGGAGTGGGACCTTCGGGGCAGTGTCTGGGTGGCCCCTCCTCCTCCCTTGGCCTGCAGAGCTGTGAGGCCCAGGGTGCAGTCCCTGTGATTTCCCTGTGTCCTGGGTGTATGTGTGCATGGAGGTGGGTAGATCTGAGGTTTTGGAGCTCAGGTGCCCAAAGAATAGTCTTGGCTTCCTCCTTGAGGTCCGTCTGAATCCCTTGCTTCCCTACTCAGCACTCCCCAACTGGTCTACAAAGTCCTGGAAAAAATCACGTTTATTGGGCTTTTGATGTACCCTGTTACCATGTACAAAATCTCCACCTGCCCGCCCGCAAGTCTCCCAAGACTCAGGAGCCAGGAGCTGACCTGTGCCCCTCCTGCTGCACCCTGGCTTCAGGGCAGGGCTTCCTGAGGCTCCATCGCCACTCTTCCCACCTGCCACTACCCTTGTCTGTTTTCTTCAGAGAACAGACAGGGACCTGGGGACCCTCCCTACCTGCCACCTCTCGGGTTATGGACACCTACTTTCGTCCATTAGGGCCGACCCAGCCTTCATTAGGACGGAGTTCCCATCCCGGGGGTGCCCTTGCTGGGAGGCCACATATGGCGGGCATGTATCTGGTAGGTGATACCGGTGCCGAGACTTCCGGCGTCGGGGACCCAGGGTCTCCATGCACCTCTTGCCCACTAGGTAGGTGACCTCACTGAGGTTGAGCAGAATGCAGATGGCAGCTGCGCCCACCATGAAGTAGGTGAAGATCTTCTTCTCTGTGGGTCTGGAGATATAACAGTCCACGGTGTTGGGACAAGGGTCCACACTGCAGGCCACCACGCGGGGCATGTTGTAGTTCTCATAGAGGCGGTGGAAGATGTAGAGGAAGGCCGAGTCCACGGTGGCCTTGAAAATGAGACTCAGCAAGTATGTCCACCAGAGCCCGCCCCGCTTCTTTCTCAGGTTGTTGTACAGGGATGGGGCATTGGGTCCGTGTTTCATGCGGTGCCTCCGCTCACGCTCCTCGCGGTAGGCCACGTGCATGACCACGAGCAGTGAGGGGCACGTGACCAGGACGAGCTGCAGGGCCCAGAGGCGCACGTGGGACACGGGGAAGAAGTGGTCATAGCAGACATTGGGGCAGCCCGGCTGGCGGGTGTTGCAGACAAAGTCCTTCTGCTCATCGTCCCACACATCCTCGGCGGCCACCACGTACACCAGCACGCGGAAGATGAACACCACTGACAGCCAGATGCGGCCCAGCGCTGTGGAGTACTTGTTCACGCCACTCAGGAGGCCCTGCAGAAATGTCCAGTTCATGGTGGCTGCGTCCTTGGCCTCTCACGTAGATGCGTCTACACCTGAGTGCCACCACTCAGGCCGTGGAGCCTGGAGGCCTGGAAGAACCTGGAAATGGGTGCCTTTAATGATGCTGTGGTTGATAAAATCGTTTTACAGCCCCTGGGTCATATGTCCTCACTGGGTTACACAGGGAGGGCTTGCCATCGTTCCCACTTCACAGGAAAGTCAGCTAAGGCCTAGGGGGGCACGCCCAAGGCCCCACAGCTAGAAGCAGCACAGTTGGTCTTGAACCTTGGTCTTTAGTTTCTAAAATCAGGGTGTATTTTATTCTACAAAGCAATAAATACAAGTGAAGGTCTCATCCTGCGGGGACTTGACAGCCAGAGTCTTTACCATGTGTGTGTTTCAGCCTAAAGAGACTGGATGATCTCATCAGCTGCCAAACTCATCTAACTTTCACTGAATGCCACAGGAGCTGGACCCTGGGCTTGGCACATCCACCTCAGCTCTGGTGGATCCCAGAACAGTCTCCATCCCCCCCTCTTCTCTGGCTCCAGGACAGGAGGCTTCCCAGATATTCCCTTCCCAACTAACCAGAGGCACTTTGGAATCATGGTGGCTTGGCATGGCCTCTGCTACGCTGCGGAGCCGGAGCTGAAAGGCTGACCAATGGCTCCTCTAGAATTCCAACTATACTAGCTTCAGGGAGGGCCAGGGCAAGGGACAGAGACTGCATTCTGGCCTGGTCTGTGCCTCACCATCGCCTTTCTGTCTCAGGGACGGCTCCTTCTCTGTTTGCTTTGTGGCTATGTGGTAGCCAATGTTTCCCATTATTTCCATGGAGGTCCCTGTCCTACACCTTCACCCCCACAGCCCCTTATTAGGAGTCCTTATCATTTTCTGTCCCAAGCCCTGCCCTCCCTTGTCCCTTACTCAGCTCCTAGCCTCTTCAGACACTGTTCTCCCGGGACACAAGCTAAGCACTCCATCTTCCTGGTTTCCTTGGTGGAGGGGCTGCCAGCCGCTGAGGGCTTACTCTACACCTCACTTGTGTTTCCCCAGGACCCAGCTCTGGGCCTGGCCCAGGGAACACTCAGTAGGTCGTGATCTCTTCTCTTTATGTCCTCCTTTGGTCTGGCAGGATATTTCTTCCCTTACTTGGGGGTCCCCCAAGTACCCTAAGCCCGTTCCTCCGCCCTCCCTACCTGAAGCCTGGCCCACAGCCTGAGATCCCTGGGACATTTTAGCCCTGCGGGTCCCTTCATCCCAGCCCTTTCTCCAGCCCTGTTTGGTCCTCACCTCTCCCTTCTTGTGGATCCAGCTCACTCTCCTGTCCCTGGGCTGCCCGTCTGCCTGAGGGCCTCCTGGAGGTAGCTTTTGTTTCTTCTGGCTGGCAGGGTGGGACTTTCTGAGCCAATGAGCCAAGCAAGAGTGTAGGGTTCGTGGGCAGGACAGGCTGGGCGGGTGGACTTCCCCAGGGAAATATTCAGAGCAAACACCTGCGGCTCTTCTCTCCTGGCCCACGCTTCCTCTCCGGCTTGGCTGGGCTGGCACGTATGTGGGTGAGAATGCAGAGAAGGGGGCAAAAGCTTGGTGTCCTTTGTTTAGGCCCGGACAGCACCTCAGCATTGATCTCTTCCTCTTCCTGATGCCTCACTGCCTTGCTCCATTGTCCCCAGGCCGCTCTCCTGCCCTTTCCTCTGGAAGCCTGGTACTGAGGTCCTCAGCAACTGATATCTATAGAAAGTGGCCGCCTTGATTTAGCCTAAGATAGTGTCCTACCCCAGTGGGGATGTTTCTGCCCACTAGAGCTTGGGCTGCCCTTGGGTTAAATAGGGGATGAGGGGCTGATTACAGCTTGTCTGGACCAGGCACCTGCTGCCCTCCTGGAGATAAGGAATGCAGGTTGGCAGTGTGGAATGTCTCAGCTGGCATGGGGCCAGGCACAGCCTGGCCTTCTATCCTCATGGGCCTAGGCCTCTGTGCTTCTGGAGAAGGCTTCCAGAAAAGCTGAGGGTGACCCAGCAAGGGCTAGAAGGGTCTGGGCCTGTGTTTGGCTGAGATGGCAAAGGTTAATGTGCAGCCAGGGAACAGTCCCTTTACCTCACTTCCTAGTAGTAGTGATTAACATTTATGTGACCTTTTACAGCTGGCTAACCCTATTCACAGCCATGAGCTCATCAGTCCTTACAGTGGCCCCACAGGTTAGACATTTCTAACACATTTGGAGAAGAGAGAGTTACTTTTCCAGAGCCCAGGGGTGCTTGGGTTTGAATGCAGTCATGCTGACTCGAGTCCATGCACTTCCGTACAGTATGCTCCATTCCTTATGGAGCCATCCCATGGGCCTAAACTTGCACAAGGTGCTTAAGATTAGCCTTGAGCATGAGCAAGTGGCATGGTCTCCTGAGGCACCCCTGTCTGGAGGAGAGCCCCTCATCTGGCTTAATCAAGTGTGGTCTTTTGCAAGGGCAGAGAGATGCACGCAGTGGCGTGATGGGGATCACAAGGCCAAATGACAAAGGGCACCTCAAATCAGTGAATGCATTGACCTTTATTAAGCCCTGACCGTGGGCCTCACCTCGAAGGTGGTTGCCCATTTGTTCTCTGAATAAACTTCTCCTTACCACCACTCCACATGGTGGGCCTCTACATCTGCATTTTACAGCAGAGGGGTCACTTGCCCAGGTCCACAGAGCTGGGCCCAGGAGTTGGAGTTGAGAAATAGGGACTGGACCCCACACTGTCTGAATCCTTCCTTGGGTCTGCCTCCAACTCATTATGCAGCTCCTCCACCCCTAGACTGCACCTGTGAGAGAAGCCAGACCCTCCCAGGCCAGGCCCACCCCACAGGTCCAGCTAGGCAGCTCCTCACACGACAGTTTTCTTCACATAGTCTCGGGGGCAGTCTTGCATGAGAGGGGGGAGAGTGTCAGAACCCAGAAAGATGAGGTCGCCTGAGAGGAGGTCGTTCTGTTTGCAGGAAGCAGCGACATAGTTTGGGTAATGCCCCCCAGGTGTGGCCCGAGCTCTCCTTGCTGCCAGGCACTCCCTACACCGCTTGCTCACTAGGTAGGACAGCTCCACAAGGTTGAGCAGGATGCAGACAGCAGCTGTGACCACCATAAAGAGAGTGAAGATGTTCTTTTCTGAGGGCTTGGAGATGAAGCAGTCCACTGTGTTGGGACAGGGAGCCAAGTGGCACTTGACCACAGGAGGGAGGATGTATTTGGGATAGAAGGAGTGGAACACATAGAGGAAGGTGACATCTATGCCGGCCTTAAAGACCAGGCTGCAGACATATGTCCACCAGAGCCCGCCCCGCTTCTTGCCAGGGTCTGGGTAGAGTCGCCCACCATCCTCCCCAGCCACCTCTAGATGCTTCTTCTCCTGAGCTTTGCGGTAGGCCACGTGCATGACCACGAGCAGCGAGGGGCATGTGACCAGGATGAGCTGCAGGGCCCAGAGGCGCACGTGGGACACGGGGAAGAACTGGTCAAAGCAGACGTTGGAGCAGCCCGGCTGGCGGGTGTTGCAGTCAAAATCCTTGTGGTCGTCACTCCACACACGCTCAGCTGTCACCAAGTACACCAGCACTCGGAAGATGAAAACCAAAGACAGCCAAATGCGCCCAAACGCTGTGGAGTACTTGTTGACCCCATTCAGGAGTGCCTCGAAGACTCCCCAGTTCATGATGGACCCAAGTGTTGGGTGCCACTGCAGGGGAAGGATAAAAATAATTTCCCATGTTGAAAGAAAGCTTGTTCTGAGCCCTTCATAGAAATAAACCATCATATTTAATCCTCACAACCACCTGGGGAATCAGGTTTATTAGTATTCCCATTTTACAGATGAGGAAAACCGAGATTTAGAGGCGGAATATGAGTTTATATAACTATTAGGTGCAGAGCTGGATTGGAACACACAGGTGATTAAGTCAGGTCCCAACTCTACTCGTAAAAGCAGGTGAAAGAGCTTTGTGCAGTGGCAGTGCTGTAGCCAGTGAGGTTTATCTGAGGCATGATTATCGCTAATTACTGTGGGTGAAGGCAGGTCTACGGTGCCACCCATTCCTCGAAGGAGTCCTGCAGAGAGAAGACTGAGGGGCGTCACACCTTCTGCCATCTCACTCTGTTCAACTGTGGGGGCTGAGCTTTGGGGTGACTTCTCCCCTTTCTGAGCACCACTCTCTCCCTTCAGACAGTCCCCTCCCGAGGGAAGTGCGCTCCTTGTCCTTTGCTGGCTCAGGGGATGGGACTGGAGTGGAGGTGGAACCTTGTCTCAAGCGTCTCCCGGGTCTAACACTGTAAATATCTAGTCAGGGTCCTGCTCAGGTGGGACTCCCCCAAATCGAGGTCAGTGGCAGTCCAGCATGGCTGAGAAAAGGATTCTGTGTTCAGAAGTTGGCAAACACTGGGTTTAGCAAAGTTAAATAGGTCCCACTATTCAGCCAACTACTAAATTCACCTTGTGACTCTCCAAAAGAGGGAGGAACCAGGTAGTGTTGCCCAAAGTCTTTTGACCACAGAACCCCTGTAGTGCTTTGATCGTCTTTCTTTCGAAGCAGCCTTGTCCAGACACCAGCATGGGAAATGCTGCTCTCGTCAGTTCTGCCGGTGCACTTGGCTGGAGGAGCACAAGCCAGCAGATTCAGCTCCATTCAGGGAGGGTGTCTGCTTCCTTGCTGGGAACTCCTCCGCTTAAGTCCTGGGGTTCACTGAGACCCAGGCACCATAGTCTGACTTGCAATGCACTCAGGGACCCCAGGGAGCCTGTACTCTAAGGGGTCATGATGCCCTCCTTGCACTGGCCCAGGTGGAAAGTCACAGCCCTCTTGACCCCTCACCCTGTGTTACTACTGCAAAGCAGGGTGATGGGAACGCCCCAGCCAGCATGGATTGGGTGTTTATGTCCCGACAGAAGCTGTTCTAAGCACGTTGCTGGAATCAATACACTATCCCTTCACAGCAACCTTAGGAGGGGTAGATTTTTAATTCGCTGTTTACAGATGAGGAAAATAAACCACAGAGAGATTAACCAATTGCTCACCGATACCCCACTAGTAAGCAGCAGAGCTGTGATTTGAACCTAGGCAGGCTGGCTCTAGGGCCCACCCTCTAGGAACTGCCTAGTCTTGGGTGGGGCCTCTTTCCTCAAGTTTCACTGAGCTGCCTGCTCCTCCGAGTAGACTCTCTTCTGCCGGAGGATCCCAGTGAGGGAGGCTGGGACCTCTCCCTTCCCCACCCAGTCTCTCTCCACCACCTCCCGCTTGGCCTCAGGCCCCTCTCTGAGTCATCAGCGGCTCTGCTCAGTCCTGCCTTAGGTGGGTGGGTCTGGCAGCCTCTCTGCAGCACTGGGGAGGCCCAGCCCTTAGCCCCAGGGGCTCTCACCCAGCTAGCCCTTCGCTAGGCAGGGAGGGAAGGTCCTCACCCACAGACTGAGGCTCAGCCTGCCTGTGGGCTCTGGCTTTCAGCCCCAGTCCCACTCAATTCCTCACTCCCACCTATCCTTGCTGGGGAGAGCAGGAAGAGTCAGAGGGGAGGGAGGGGCTCTTCATTCCTCCACCACCAGGACCCCAGGAGCATCCAGGCCACCTCCCTCCACTTGCCACCAGGGAAATCTCTCTGCCAGATGTTCAAGAGGCAGGGCACATCTGGACACAGATGCTTTTACCTGAACCGCTGCTCCTCAGGACTGTCCTGGAACCTGCTCGTGGTACCTGGCTGTGGAATTCAGCAAGCCTCCGGGAGTCATGTCAGAACCGGGGAAGGTGTCTGGGGAAGCACGTTCCTGGGCCCGAGCCTGCAGAGCAGCCTGGGTGTGTGGGGCAGGCCAGGGGAGGAGGAGGAGCTGCAGCCTGCACTGCTATTGGCTGATCCCCAGCCTCCTCAGACTGCCTCCCAGGAGGCTTGGGAAACCCAAGGATTCACTCTTCTCAGCCTGCCAACTTCAGAATCCCAGAATTCTCCTACAGAAGCACAGATCCACTCTGAGCCCCTTGCTTCTCCTCCTACCCCTGAGCTTGTGTGGGAGGACCTGGTTTCTGTCTCGCCTTCTCATTCCTCTTCCCAAATTCTCTACTGCTAACTCAGACCTCCCCTGGCTTCTGTGGGCTGCTATTTGGGTTATTGCCACTCTCTGGTTGCTCCCGAGTAGGTTTCCATTCTCAAGGTGCCAGCTGTTTTTGAAACTATACTTCCCAACTCATCTCTGGCCCAGAAGCTTTTTTCTCTCCAGCTGCCCCACCAGGACGCCCTTTTCCTGCCTCCCTCCTCACCTGCCAAGTCCTCTGAAGCTTGCTGGAGTAGCATCTTGACTCCACACCCCTGCCTCCGGACTTCACACCCTTCACCTGGGTCCCACACCTCTGCAACTGGGTCCAGCTCTGGGCCTCTCACCCCTGCTTCTGGGCCCCACATGCTGCATTGGGGTCAGACACACCTACATTTGGACCCCACACCTCTGCATCTGGACCCTAAACCCCTCAATCTGGAGTGCACAATTTTGCATCTGGAGTCACACCCTGCCCCTGTACCCTGCAATATGGGCCCCTCACCTCTGCCTCTGGGTCCCTTATTCCTGCATTTGGGCCTTACACCCTTGCATCTGGAGCCCATACCTCTGTAATTGGGCCCCTCACCCCTGCACCTGGAATCTCTCAGCCTGCATTTGAATCTCACCCTTTCCAGATTTTGACCCAAGGCTTACCCGCTCCTTTGTACAATGAGATATCCTGCTCCTGTGAGAGGTGTCATGAGAAGATGGTCAGTAAATAGGGACCACTGCTCCCAGTAGAAATACAAGGCCAGGTTCCTGTGAGTCTCTAGTTATATTTTCTTTTCTTTTTTTTCTGTACCAGGGATCGAAGTCAGGACCTTGCGATTTCGAGGCAGGCGAGGCAGGCGCTTGGGTGCGGCGCCAATGAGCTAAATCCCAGCCCCCTGGTTATATTTTTAATTGATCAACATATCGTCTTGTTTCATGTGTGCTTCTGTTGTTTGAATACAGAGCAGTGATTAGGTAACATTGAACTCACGGCCGTTGCTACTGTAGCTCATGCCAGAACGACGCTCATCTGCCACACGTTTGCTCCCTGAAGCAAGTCACAGCCTCCTCTCGTTTAGGAAGATGGGACAGCTTGTCAGCACCTGTGCTTGGGGCCATTGTAAACAGTAAAGTCACCAAGAAAAAGCACAAAAATGAGAAAAATAGGCCCCCCCTTGAGACATATGTTTGCAGAATGGAAGCTGGAAGACAGAGGGCCACGGTGTGTGTGGTTCATGGCCATGGACGGCATGCTTCAAGGATGGATTTGGGGGCTGCAAATGAATTTTGGCCAGTAGGCAAATTCTCAGCACAGAATCCGTGAAAGGGGAGGAGCCATCAGATGTTTAACTTGCTTCCTGTTGGAGAGGGGAACTGGTGGAGGGCTGGTGAGACCAGTGATACTGCGGTTACCATTTAAGCCAGAGATGAGAAGAGGGCTGGAAGAGGGAAATTCTCGGTAAGTAAGCACATCTGGAGGTTTGGGAGTGTCTTTAAGTGACCCGGCAGGTGCTGGGCCACTGCAGGAGGAGAGGCAGGCTATTTGGGGGAGCGCACTGGGAAGAGCTGCACGGTTGGTCCTGGGTGCTGGCAGAGTTAGTGAGCTCTGTGTTGCTGGTGCTCACAGGGAGCCTTGAGGACATCTGGTCACGAGTACTCCTCGGCCCCATGGAGATGGCAGGCGCTGCAGGAGTGGAGGAGGAGTGGGGCCAGGCAGAGCTCCTGGGGGCACTGGCATTTTAGGAAGTAGGCAGAGACAGAGGTGCCCGTGGAGGGGAAAGAATGGTTCAAGATGGAGAAACTTGGGTTATGGGAGCGGAGAACATGATGAAAGCGGGTCCAGGAAACCTGGCCCTGGTGACTTTCACCAGTCATTTCAATAGAGGGAGAGGGAGAGAAGCCAGAGGGTGTAGGCAGAAAACGTGTTCTTTTTCTGGAAGGGAGAGAGACAGGCAGGGCCTCAGGGAGGGACAGGTCTGGAGAAGATTTGCTTCTTCGTGGGGAACCAGAAGGGATACATGGCAGAGGGACCTGCAGTGGACCTTCACACCCTCCTCTGCTCCTTCTCCACTTTGCTCTTTCTAGTCTCTCGGGTCTCTTCTTGTCTCTCCGGGTTTCCCCAACCCTCAGCCGGCTTTGTCACCAGCTTTGACCCATTGTTCTTCTGGGACTGGCCTCCTCCCCAGCCCCCCGCCCCCCACCCCGGGCGGTGGTCTTGGCTCCTAGCTGCCTCAGCTCTACTGGCTGCTGCCTGTGTTCTGGTTAACACGAGTGGGTGGATGGGAGCAGGATGTGTCCCGGAGCCCAGTGCTCCCTGGAAGTCTAGGTGCCCTGGCCTGGTCCTCGGCCAGCTGACTATCAAAGTGCCTGTTCCCTAAGGAGAGTCCATCTTTGCTCCCAGGGGAACAAGACAGTAGGCCTAGGCACCAGGATGCCACGGAGGTGTCTGTTCCCTCTCCTCAGGCCAGGAAAAAAGGCTGAAAAACGGAGGGAGGAGGAAGAATAATAATAATGTCAAGTCAGTTGTTTAGCACCTCTTGGGCCAGAAACCGGGACAAATGCTCAACTTGTGTCATACATGTGATGACTTGCTGCTCTCTCTGTACCCCTCCATTCAGCTCTCTACACACTGCAGAGCTGTCTCTAAATCATACCTAAAAAATCTTTCAGTGGCTCGGCAGGGCTCCTGAAAAAGAAAGAATCCCGTTTTCCTAATATGGCCTGTAGGGTCCTGCACAGGCTGACCTCTGCCACTGTCTTCACCCTCAGATTCTCCTCTCAGTCTCTGTGCCCCAGCCACACTGGTCTTCTTTTGCTTTCTTTCTTTTTTTTTTTTGGTACCGGCGATCGAACTCGGGTCCTTGCACTTGCGCAGCAGGCGGCGAAACCACTGAGCTAAATCCCCGGCCCCTCTTTTGCTTTCTTGACTAGCAGACCTTTTCCCACCTCAGGGCCTTGGCTCATGTCTTAATGTTTTTGCCTTGCTGTTTTCCCCCTCTGAGCTAGCGTTGACTTAAGCTCTAAATTCTAATTTAAATGTCACTCCCTCACAAAAGCCATCCCTGCCCTCAAAACCAGGGCTGGTTCTCTGTTGTAGAATCTCTTAGCACAGTGCCCCCTTTGTGACAGTTGCAGGTGTAGAGTTATTGGTGTGTTTGTACATTAAAGTCTTCTTTCTTTCTTTACGTTATAATTTTGTTTTATTTTGTTTTTTGTTTTTTTGGTACCGGGGATTGAACTCGGGTCCTTGTGCTTGCGAGGCAGGTGACGGAACAACTGAGCTAAATCCCCAGCTATTTTGTTTTATTTTGTTGAGACAGGATCTCACTATCTAGTTGAGGCTGGTCTTGAACTCACTATGTATCCCAAGCTGGCCTTAAACTCATGGCCATCGTCCTGCCTCAGCCTCCCGAGTGCTGGGATTACAGGTGTGTGCCACCATGCCCAGCTTACACTATGATCTTGAAGAGTTGGAATGATACATGCTCTACCTGCACCGCCAGGGACACAGGGGTGTGAGCAGTGTAGTCCTCAAGCCCTGGAAAGACCGGGAGGATGCAGGGTGCTGCAGATCCATCCCTGCCCTCAGTGGCTTCCATCCTAGGGCCCAGAGGGGGAGACTCAGCCACTTGGGGTCTAGAGAGAGCTGTATGACACACAGAATCCGCTCACACCTGGGTTCAAGCTCCATTTCTGTTCCCTGGTGGTGCGGCCCTGGCTAAATCATTTTCCTCTCTGAGCTCTGACTTCCTTTCTGAGTGCAGTGAGGGGAGGCAGCCCTTGTGAGGTGCACTGGGGCGGACCCATGTAGAGCATGGTGATGGTAGTGGGCTCCCCCACAGACTCCTGTCTTTTCTTCTCTGGGGCCATTGCTTCTCATTTGCAGAACAAGCTTTGATCTCCTAATGGACTTGATCTACTCTGTGACCTGCTGCTCTTTCTACTATTTCTGAGGCTCAGTGTGGGCTAGGTCATGGTGGCAGTGAGACTCACTGTCCCTGAGACTGAACCCATTGACTCCAGGGCTCCTCTTCCCTCCAACCTGGCCCACACTGAGACTGAATCCAGGGTCCCAACACCTGTGCCCTCATGTCTCTGGGTAGCTTGACTCAGTTCCTGCTGGGGCCTCCCTTGAAAATGACTGAAGGCTCAGGAGCCATTCCTGAACCTTTGGCCACCAACTACCACATTCCCTCTGCAGGCCCAAACTGCCAGGGTTAGGAGCCTTCTTGGGGGGTGGGGGTGGGGCTCTGGCCTGGATGTTCAGAACCTCTGTTCAGCCATGGACCACATGGCTTGGTGGAAACAATCAGAAAGGGCTGACTTTTAAGTACAGTTCCATGGAGTGGCCAGCAGCTGCCCCTCACCTGCCTGGCTTTTGCATTCCGGTGGCTGGCAGTGCTCCTGTGAAGCACCCTGGCTTGCAGCAAGCAGGCCCAGTGTCCAGTTGCCACCACCTGCCACATTGCCTGGGACTCTCTGAGCTCCTGACACCTCTCTGCCTGCATATAGGGTAGGCTGGATGCACCAGCAAATTCATGCCCTTGACCAATGAGTGATGGAAGTTAGGGGATGAATTCTCCAGCCTCCTCACCCTTTGGCTGACAGAGCCAAGTCGCCATGTTCCCCGGCTCCCTGGAGGGCCCCATCAGGGTTACACTCAGCTGCCCACAGCAGTAACTTGCTCCATCACCTATCCTGCATCAGCTTCCCTCCCTTCTCTGCCTTGCTTCCCTTTTCTCATGCTACATTTCCTGGGATTGCCTCCCAAATAAACAATTTGCATGCAAATTTTTGTCTCAGGCTTGGCTTTTGGGAAAGCCCAAACTAAGACATCTTGTGTTTGAATAGGGCATCAATCTCCTTTCCTGGGCAATTCTCCTATCCCTGGTCCAACCCATTCTGGCTCCCAGAGCTTGCTTCCTTGGAGACTGCTGATTGGGCCAGGACTG